GTGGTGCAATTTCTTGTTTCCTCCTAGCAAACCTAGGTTGGTAAGAGCTATAGTTTTGTCTAGGTTGTGCATAGTGTGGCTTGTGATGGTTATAAACATACTTAGGTGGAACAAATAGTTTCTGGGGTGGAGGATGACTATATCTTGGCATAGTTCTCCACTCAAAATTTCTTAGAAAGCTCCTATCTACCCCATAATGAGTATAGCCTCGTGTATAGTGGGGGTTAGAAAGTTTTCTTCTGAGATTGTTTCCTCTTTTAGGTGTGTCTAGCTTCCAATAATTTTTAGGAAGGACTACCTTTTTGGGAACTTCTTTAGGTTTCTCATTCTCCTTACCTTTCTGCTTATTGGGTTTGGCAGTAGGTTTGGGAGGGATAAAAGTTGTTCTCCCTTTCCTTTTGGAACTGGAGGGGTAAAAACCAAGTCCTTCACGACCCTTATGTTTGGTCGTTTCAAGAAGCTTATCCACTGCTTCTTTGGACTTTAGTAACCCTAGCTCCTTGTTGAGGAATTTCACCTTTTCAGAAAGAGATTCACTCTCACCCTTGAGTTGAGTAATCTCACTTAGTTGACTTTTCCGACCTTCAGTCAACTTGAGATTCTCTTCACTCAATAGCATGTTCTCCTCTGTTAGGGATGAGTGTTTAAGATTTATTTCCTCAAAATATTCCATCATCTTTTTGAACTTGTCAAAAAGATTTTCAGAAGTTGGTAAGCTATCATAAGAAGATGAACAAGAGGTTTATGAAGTTACCTCTCGATCAGCATCATCCTTGGCCATTAGACAGAGGGTGTCATCTTCTAACATAGTCCACCGATCCTCATGATTGGACTTCTCAGCTCTGCGCTCCATGCAGACGAGGGCTTCTTCATCCGAGCTTGAGCTGGATGACTCGTCACTCTTAGCTGCTACCATTGCCTTCTTCTTCTTCTCGTTTCTTTCTCTTTCTCCGTACTTCTCCACTTTTGGGTACGGGCATGCTGACTTCCAGTGGCCAGGCTTCCTACAGTTATAACATAAGTAAGATTCAGGAGGGGAGTCACTTACCTGTGGCTTTCCCTTGGGTGGCCTTCTGACTTAGTCAGCTTTCTTGAAGAACTTTTTGAACTTCCGGAATTGCTTGACCATCATGGCAAATTCCTCATCGTAGTTCTCCGTTTTTGTTGGCTGACTTGATCAAGGAGTGTCATAGTTCCTTGGGCATGTCCCTTCGCTTGCTGGGACTCTGGGAGTTGTCATTAGTGCCGTAGGAAATGGGGTGACTTGTTCTTCCTTCTTCTTCTTCAGCTCGTGCTCATAGGTTCTGAGCTCATCTAGGAGACGTTGGACAGTGTAGTTCTCAAGATTTCTTCCTTCTTCTATGGTTGTGGCTTTAGTGTACCACTCAGCTGGAAGAGATCTCAGTAACCTTACATTCTTTTCTTTGGGAGAAAGAACGTGGTTAAGTGATGCAAGATCATTCAAGATTTTGTGGAATCTTTCATCCAACATATCAAATGATTCTCCGGGAAGCATTTTGAAGCTTTTGAACTTCTCGAGCAAGACCTCTATTTTCTGCTTTCTCAGATCCTCCGATCCCTCACAATACTTCCCAAGACCTTGCCTTATCTCCATGGCAGCCTTGAGATGCTTGATCTTGGAGAAGGTGATGGGATCAAGTGTCTTGAAGATGGCTGCTTTGGCGATGTTGTCCAGATTGTGCTTTTTGCAATCTCTATCATCGCATTTCTCCTTGGGCTTTGGAATGTATTGGACTTCATCTGGATTGGTTGGATTCCTCTCTGGATTCTCCATTTGGATTTTCAAGGGTCCATCTTCAAGCACCATCCACATGCAGTCATGTAGGGCATAGAGGTGTGCTTCCATCATGATCTTCCAATCATCAAAACCTAGAAGAGTGAACTTGGGCAAACCGTGATCCATATTGTTCACCATTATGATCGCTTCTCGTTACTCTAAATGTAGATAGTGAGAAGTTTGCTCCGGTACCAATTGGTGGTCCCAAAGTGGTGAGATACAAAGTCTGGGGGGGGGGTGAATAGACTTTGTTACAATTTAAAAACTTTTTCGTTTCTTTTGAAAACATGAAAATGAGTGTTAATCTAGAGTTCTTGTGAACCTTAGATTGTGTGCGGAAGTTGATGGGTTAATAGAGTAGTAATCAATATGGATGAGTTAGTTTCACAGTTAATATAATTGCAAGTATGAGTAAATATAAAAGAGAGAGAGAGACACGCAAACTTTAACGAGGTTCGAAGGTGGGGTAATCCTTCTACCTCCTCAAAATCCACTATGTAGTTGGTTGTTGAATAATGAACCAACAATTACACTTGTGTGAATTTTTGCACGGTATATCTTCGCAAGGCCAATGTTGCTACTGCACACGTGCTGGCTTTGTTGTTCCTTCGAAGGTCAAGCTTCTTCAACAACTACAAGATCCGAACAATAGGACTTGCAAGATCAACTTGTAGGAAAGTTGATGTACCCCATTTTTAATCAAGAAGTTTGATTAAAAGATGTATCCTTTAACGTGGTGTGGTACTTGAGGCAAGGAAACCTTCAAGTGTTTACACTATAGCTCTTTGGAAGGAGGAGAAGTTTGCTTCTGGATAAGGAGTTTAGAGATCTTTCTTTATCAAGCTTTTTGGCTAATTGTGAATGAGATAGATGTAGCTTGTTGTTGTTGTAATCTTGCTTGCTATCTCACATATTTCTCCAGTCTTCTAACGAAACTATATATAGCTGGATTGGGTAATCTATCTGTTGAAGGAAATAGACTATCCGTTGCATTTACTGGCTTCAATTTGAACGAAGAGTGAGACTGAGGATTCTTCAATGGAATGGGTGTTTGGACATACCCATTTGTTTGAAGAAGGATTCCTTTTTCACAGAATCCGTCCTTTAGTTTTTGTGTTCAAGAATTCTGAACTGTACTTCTTTATTGAGTGGAGTACCCAGTTTGTCTTCTAGTGCTTGTTTAGGAATTCTGGGCAAGCTCTTTAATTTGAGAAGTCCAGACTTTGTCTTCAAGTCATTTGTTCTTGAATAAGCTTAATTATCCTCAATCTAGCCGTTGAAAATCAAGAGATTGATTTTTCCTTACCAATGGGTAGAATTTCTTCATTCAAGACTTAGTTAATTTTCTAAGTCTTTTCTCACTTATCTACTTCTGAGAATTCCGGTCTTTCTTAAGGCATTTGGTTCTTCACTGACAATTCCGGAAAAGACATTCATAGACTTCCAGGTGAGAAAGAGATCCGCGCTAGTCTTCCGATCCGGATGACTTAGCCTTCAGCGGGTTGTAGCGAGACATCCGGTTATCATGTAGTGTTCCGGATTAGAGGATCTCCAAAGTAATCAACTGCTTTGAGAATTCCTTACTTGTCTCTGACATTTCCGATCAAGATATCCAATTTCCATATCCTTGAATTTGGTTAAGTCTTCAAAGATTGACATCAAACCATAGAGTGAAATATCACATCTTTATTGGAAATTTCAAGAACTCAGTTTTAACAATATTTCTAAAAAGAAAAATTACATTGAATATTGGGGGTGACCTAAAGTCCCTATTACAATCTAAATACATCATCATCAAAATCTATAATATATTTACCAACAAAGCGCACCGACAGTGAGCCGCAGACGCCAAAGCCATGGACATGGGCCTACTTCAATTGGGCCTTCAAGAAGGAGTACATCCCGGCTCGCTTCCGGGAGAAGAAGCGGACAAAGTTCATGGAACTTCGACAAGGGGACATGACCCTTGCTGAAGTACAACAGAAGTTTGAGCACTTGGCTCAGTTTGCACCCACGCTAGTGTCCACACCAGTTGACAGAATTAAACAGTTCAGGAAGAGGTTGCGCNGGAGTGTTTAAATAAAATGCGGAAGCGACTTTAAAATATGTCTCATAACAACATAATTATTTATTTCATTCAATAATCTACCACGACTGTCTCGCCCCTTCTGCTGCCAGGAATCAGCCAATCATTCATTCTGCCTACCTGCGTGTAGCAAATAAAACACACTACACGCTCAGCGGTGAAGCTGAGTAAGCATATCTAAAGCGTCAAACATCCACATAAATTGAATCTCGATTCATAATCAACCATTTGATATCATGCAAACAATATATATTTCAAACATTCATGATATTCTCAATATTTTATTCCAAGTCATTTGATATTCAATATCTCAACAATGCTCTCAAATTATTCTTAATCTAAGGCCAAATCATTTCATAACAACTCTTAACTATTCCTAGTCTAAGGCAACATTTCTAACCAGGCCCTTAAACTATAAATAGTTTAATGCAGAACACAAGAATCGATAATCCACCCTATGAGTCATGTGGATTACGTACCAACCGAATAGTGAACTGTCGGGTGGGTGATATCCGTTCTGGATCCCGTACGTACGTTTTAACCCCGAAATATGAATTGGTCAAGGAGGTATATCTTAGAGTTCTTCTAGATATCCTTAATAATCTTCATCATTATACAAGTCGGTATATCTTAGAGTTCTTCTAGATATCCTTAACAATATACATCATTTTCATAATCATTATTATATCTATTTTTAATCATGATTTAATTAATAATCATACTAATCAGTAGGTTAATCATTCATAATTGGCCACAATAATAGTTAATCATAATGATCATTCAACATAACATTTAATAACAATTAGCGGGCTAGTCTCGAGTGATAACACTCGAATGACTTGTTGGGGAGGATGATCCCTTAACCAACGAATATTGTGTTGATTAGGATTGACTGGTTGATCTAGTTCAGCTTCTGGTTGAAGAACAGAGTTTGTTGGTGATTCCGGATGGATTGGCACTCGGTCGCATTTTCCAGAATTGTCACCGTTTGAGTGATCCGGAATAATGGAAGGTTGGCCGAGATTTCCGGTAGGCTCAGCACCATCTGAATCCGGATTTCTTTGTGAAGTCTTCAATGGTAGACTTCCGAATGGAATGAACTCCGTAGGCTTCATTCTATCTCCATCATTGATTTCTTCATCCTTATCTGAGAGATTCAGAACCTCATGATCATGCTTTGATGGCTTGTCAACCACATGTTTTTCATCAAAAATAACATGCATTGACTCTTCAATGATCATGGTTCTTTTGTTGAAGACTCTGAACGCCTTGCTCACCATAGAATATCCAAGGAAGATGGCCTCATCTGATTTCTCATCAAAAGTGTTCAGATGATTCTTCCCATTGTTTAACACAAAACACTTGCTCCCAAAAATATGGAAATATGATATATTGGGCTTTCTCCCGTTCCACAATTCATAGGGAGTTTTGTTGTGCCTTTTATAATTCATACTCCTATTTTGAGTATAGCAAGCTGTGTTAACAGCTTCAGCCCAGAACCTCTTTGGCAAAGAAGCTTCGGCTAGCATGGTCCTTACTGCTTCCTTCAAGGTTCTTTTTCTTCTTTCAGCTACACCATTCTGTTGAGGCGTCCTTGCTGCAGATGTCTGATGAAGAATTCCGTTTTCTCCACAGTAGTGAATGATGATTTCATTCAGGAATTCTGTGCCTTTGTCAGATCTGATCTTCTGGATGCTCTGACTTGCTTGGTTTTGAATCAGCTTCATGCAGTTTGTGAGCTTCCCTTGAGTTTCCTTCTTGGTGTTGAGGAAGATTGTCCACGTGTATCTTGAGTAATCATCAACTACCACTAGGACATATTTCTTTCCACTTAGACTTATTGGCGTAACAGGGCCAAATAAGTCCATGCGAACAAGACTTAATATCCTTGTGGTTGAGGGGGCCGGTTTTGCCTTGAAAGTGGACTTGACTTGCTTTCCTTTCTGGCAAGCATCACAAATGCTTTCCTTCCTGAATACAGCTTTGGGAAGACCTTCTACTAACCCTTCTTTGGATAGCTTGTTGAGAGTTTTGAAGTTGAGATGACTCAACCTCTTATGCCAAAGCCATAGAAGGTTAGTGTCACCTTTGCTGATTAGGCAAGCTTCCTTGACATCGTCCCACACTACTTCATAGATGTTTCTGATTCTCTTCCCAGTAAGAATGACTTCATTTGTGGAGATGTTTTTGAGAGATGCCATGTCCTTGTAGAATTCCAAGGAGTAACCCTTATCACAAAACTGACTTATGCTCAGAAGGTTATAATTGAGACCTTCCACATAAGATACAGCTTGGATGGTTGGTCCCTTGTACACCAGATTTCCTAGACCTTTACTAAGGCCAAAGTCATTGCTTCCTCCAAAAGTAACGCTTGGACCATCATAGGGAATTAGATTGCTCAAGAGGCTCGCATCACCCGTCATGTGTCTTGAACAGCCACTGTCTAAGTACCAGACACCAGGGTACTTAGCGGCTTCCTGCATTAGGAGGAGGAAGATTTTGGTACCCAATTCAGTTTGGGTCCGGAATAGTTAATGGTGTGTACCCCTACATCAAGTTTGAAGTTGCAGGGAATTTTCCTTGCATCCCTAAACTTGTTGAGATGGTAATCATAGTTGTATGCATAAAATTTCCTACGAGCAGGTGGTGCATTTTCCTGTTTCCACCTGGCAAACCTAGGTTGATAAGACCTATAGTTTTGTCTAGGTTGTGCATAGTGTGGCCTGTGTCGGTTGTAAGCATACTCAGGTGGAACAAATAATTTCTGGGGTGGAGGTTGACTATATTTTGGTACAGTTCTCCACTCAGAATTTTTGGAAAACTCTTATCTACCCCATAATGAGTATAGCCTCGCGTATAGTGGGGGTTAGAAGGTTTTCTTCTGAAATTATTTCCTCTTTGAGGTCTTTCCAGCTTCCTATAGTTCTTATGAGGGACTACCTTTTTGGGAACTTCTATGGGTTTCTCCTTTTCCTTTCCTTTCTGCTTATTTGATTTGTCAGTAGTTTAGGAGGGATGAAAGTTGTTCTCCCTTTCCTTGTTGAGGGATTTCACCTTTTCAGAGAGAGATTTTTTTTCAGTCTTGAGTTGAGTGATCTCATCTAGTTGACTTTTCCAACCTTCAGTCAACTTGAGATTCTCTTCACTCAATAGCTTGTTCTCTTCTGTTAAGGATGAGTGTTTGAGATTTATTTCCTCAAAATCTTTCATCATCTTTTTGAACTTGTCAAAAAGACTTTCAGAAGTTGGTATGCTTTCATAAGAAGATGAGCAGGAGGTTTGTGAGGTTACCTCTTGTTCGGCATCATCTTTGGCCATAAGGCAGAGAGTGTCATCTTCTGACATAGTCCACCGATCCTCATGGTTGGACTTCTCAGCTCTGCGCTCCATGCAGACGAGGGCTTCTTCATCCGAGCTTGAGCTGGATGACTCGTCACTTTCAGCTGCAACCATTGCTTTCTTCTTCTTTTCGTTCCTTTCTCTTTCTCCGTACTTCTCCACCTTTGGGTACGGGCACGCTGACTTCCAATGACCAGGTTTCCTGCAGTTATAACATAATCAAGATTCAGGAGGGGAGTCACTTACCTGTGGCTTTCCCTTGGATGGCCTTTTGAATGAGTCAGCTTTCTTGAAGAACTTCTTGAACTTCCGAAATTGTTTGACCATCATGGCAAATTCCTCATCATAGTTCTCCATTTTTGAGCTTGACGGCTGGCTGGAGGAAGGTGTGTCACAGTTCCTTGGGCATGTCCCTTCACTCGGTGGGACTCTAGGAGTTGTCATCAATGCCTTGGGGAAGGGAGTGACTTGTTCTTCCTTCTTCTTCATCAGCTCGTGCTCATAGGTTCTGAGCTCATCAAGGAGACCTTGGACAGTGTAGTTCTCCAGGTTTCTTCCTTCTTCCATGGTTGTGGCTTTGGTGTACCACTCAGTTAGTAGAGATCTCAGTAACCTTACATTCTTTTCTTTGGGAGAAAGAATGTGGTTAAGTGATGCAAGATCATTTGAGATTCTCCGGGAAGCATTTTGAAGCTTTTGAACTTTTCAAGCAGGACTTCTATCTTCTGCTTTCTCATGTCCTCCGATCCCTCACACAGCTTCCCAAGACCTTGCCAAATCTCCATGGCAGTCTCTAGATGCTTGATCTTGGAGAAGGTGATGGGATCAAGTGTCTTGAAGATGGCTGCTTTGGCGACGTTGTCCAAATTGTGCTTCTTGCAATCTCTATCATCCCATTTCTCCTTGGGCTTTGGAATGTACTAGACAACATCAGGATTGGCTGGATTCCTCTCAGGGTTCTCCATTTGGATTTTCAAGGGTCCATCCTCAAGCACCATCCACATGCAATCATGTAGGGCGTAAAGGTGTGCTTCCATCATGATCTTCCAATCATCATAACCTAGAAGAGAAAACTTGGGCAAACCGTGTTCCATAATGTTCACCATTATGATCGCTTCTCGTTAATCTAAACGTAGATAGTGAGAAGTTCGCTCTGATACCAATTGGTGGTCCCAAAGTGGTGAGATACAAAGTCTAGAGGGGGGGTGAATAGACTTTGTTACAATTTTAAAACTTTTTCATTTCTTTTGAAAACGTGAAAATAGTGTAAATCTAGAGTTCTTGGGAACTTTAGATAGTGTGCGGAATTTGGTGGGTAGTATGAGCAGTAATCAATATGGATGGGTTAGTTTTCACAGTTAATATAATTGCAAGTAAGAGTAAAGATAAAAGAGAGAGACACGCAAACTTTAACGAGATTCAAAGGTGGGGTAATCCTTCTACGTCCTCAAAATCCACTATGTAGTTGGTTGTTGAATAATGAACCAACAATTACACTTGTGTGAATTTCTGCACGGTATATCTTCGCAAGGCCAAAGTTGCTACTGCACTCGTGCTGGCTTTGTTGTTCCTTCGAAGATCACGCTTCTTCAACAACTACAAGATCCGAACAATAGGACCTGCAAGATCAACTTGTGAGAAAGTTGATCTACCCCCTTTTAATCAAGAAGTTTGATCAAAAGTTGTATCCTTCAACGTGGTGTGGTACGTGAGGCAAGGAAACCTTCAAGTGTTTATGTAACGCCCCAAAACATACCCTAAAATTTTTAATGAATAAATATTCAATTAGTCAAATTTGTTTCGATTAAAATAAATAGTTATTGGGCTTTGGGCCAAAATGAGATGTGTTTTGATATCCAAAATCTTAATCTGGATAAATCTCATAGAGATAAATCCAATATGTTGAATATTTGTGTGGTCTTGATTGGGAACATGAATACAGACCCAAATCAAGAATAAATAAAGAAATTAGTTATGTAGTGAACTTTGAAATGATTTATTGAAATAAATCATGGAAATAAATAATATGAATTGAATATGAGCACCTTTTTGACTAAAGGTCAATTAAATCAATTTTGACTCTGTCAAAGTCAACCACCCAAAAATATGATGTCAGAAAAAGTGTTACAAATAAATATAAAAATTATATCGTTGGATAGAGTTTAAATGTACGATCACAACGGTGCAAACGGATTTCAATTCGGAGAAAGTTGGACCAAAAAAGTGTTCCCCGACTGGGACCAAATTAGTCCCAATCAGGGACTTGCCTTTGGAATCGTAGGAATCGGCCGTCCCCTCCACTGAGACGCCAAAACAGGAGGATTGGTGTCATCCTCCATGTCTCCTTCTCCATTCACCTCACTATATAAACCCTCCATTTCTTCACCATTCTTCACCAAATTTGATCTGAGAGATAGCCTTGAGTGTGGAGAACGCAGTGGTGCTGTCAATTTAGTGTGAGGTCGCCGAAGTTGAGAGTTATTGTCGCCGGAAGTTTTGTCGGAAAATCTTCAAAACCTCCATTACGCTTCG